AATAAATACTTTCGATGGACTTAAACCAAGTACTGTCAATAGATCAGAAAGTTATAATATGGCACTTAACCCAAAAAACCAAAAAAATGGACAACCCATGTTCGCTCTAAGGTACAGATATATATATGTGTGTGTGTGTGTGTGTGTGTGTTTATATATATATATATATATATATATATATATATATATATATGTAGTCTCGTTACTACGAGCCTACGGATGCCGTTAATACAGAGTCCTACTGCATGGGATTTTGTTATAGCCTCACAGTAACCGTTTTACAGATACACCTCAAATAAGCTCATAAAAGCGACCATATAGCTGAAAGTGAGTATCCTTGTAGTAAATGATATACATAAAGTAAATGATTTAAGTATATATTTATGTGCTTGCCCTAGATAAGAGGGAAACAGCTAGAATAACCGACTACGTAATATTTCAATTTTAAAATCTCAAGGCATCGGTAATTTTACTGCAGTAGTTTGAGTTTAATTATTTGTTGTTTTTCACCGCTGTCTGACAGAATCATGGGCAAATTCTAAGCATAAAGCACCTACGCATACTATGTTATCCAAACATTTCGAAAACTATAATCATCCGGATCATCCCAACGGATACCAAGGCCTCTTGCCATGTTAAAATTTATGTGAGCGTTTTACAATTGTCAAATTAGTTACATTTTTCTGTGCCGAATCGCCGAAGTATTCAATAACTTGATTATGTTAAATCAGTTCGAAAAGTAGAAATAAGTGCCTAGAAAAATAGTCGTCCAATTTCCTTTCACTGCAAAATCTTGCAGGCGGCGACCAGCAGAAAAGGTGATGCCTCACATGGGTCCGGGACGGAGTATTCCCTTAAAAAATATATTTTAGCTAGTTTGTGTTGATTATTTTAGAGTTGAGTTGTTAAACGACAGTATGCTTTTTCCCAGTCACTCGATTGCTCGCGGGAATGCCCTTTTGACATCTACATTGGTTATGAACCAAATTGCATGAAATTCAAAATGATATCTATTTCTTATTAAAAATTACCTACATTATTACTTGATTTTTGACCACGTGATGTTTCTCAGTGATGTTTCTACCAACGACTTTGTCACATTTTTAATCTGCTAACCAATGATATGGACTTCCAAGGGAAGAAACCTATAGTTAATAGTTTTATTAAACGAAATTACGAAACGAAATTTAACCGAATCTCATTTATATAACATACTAGTACAAAACAGAAATCGTTACTCGTCCATTTCAACAAATTCAGATTTCCTATATTGTTGATCCTGATAATATTTGGGTGCTACACAGACAGAGCTGTGTAGTGCTTTGAGAAACGGTGGTTGCAAAAGAGTTTCAATTACTTTTACTGCTTAGAGCACTGCGCTTCAAATACTTTTCAAATTTAGAGGAAAATGCTTGGATTACCAAGCACTTCTAAAGAGCTTAAGCATTTCAAAAGGGCTTCAAGCACTTACACATAGCTTCAAGCAATTCCACGTAGCTTCAAGCACTTTCAAAGAGTTTCAAGCATTTTCATAGCGAAGCTGTTTAGAGTGAATACGTGACCGATCTTGACAACCCTTAGCTTTCTGCTTACTCCTACTCTAACATTACGCGTTTTGTGGTTCATTAGGTGCCCGATATGGTTGTCTTTCGTAGAGGTATCTGTGATTAAAGCAGAACTTGTTGCTTTATATTTTCAATTACTGGGCGTCGAGCACTTTACAAGGGCTTGATGCTTTATATTTTCAATTACTTTGGAAAGTGCTTGGTAATTCCATGTTCTTTCATTACAAAAATGTGCTTGGGGCATGCAAGCACTTTTATCACAACAAAGTGCTTCAAACCCATTTCAAGAGGACTTTACCCAACTTTGTACCGAGGACCATTTTTGTGTACCCAAAGGCCTATTTTCATGGTTTCAGACGCAAGTTAAAATTCTCCCATGTGACCTACCCTATTATCTTCAAATACCTTTTCGTTAATTGTGGAGTGCACCAAACTTACCTACTCAAACCTGCTTACACATCTCGTTATGTGTTGGCAGGATACTAACAACTAACCTCGGACTGGACTGTGCTAATCAAGTGTATTAGATAAATTACACCGCTCAGAGCCAGGCACATTTGATAAACTTATTTGTTTGAACATGTTTTATCAGTAGGTAAGTATGTATGCAAAATCTAGGATCAGGAAGTTTGCAAGTTTTGGGTATCATTACGCAGTGGTACAGGATTTTTAATAAGAATCATGGTAAACTATTTATTAAAATCCATAGTACGGGAAAGGTTTGGTTTGATACTTAAGAAAGTGTAGAACAATTGGCAGACATCTTGCGAGGGGCTAACTCGCCGGCAGACCACGCTAAAGAATGCAAAAATTAGTTGGGAAAAAAATCATAAGGTATACGAATTTCAATTATTGTTCAAACCACAGCTGCCTAGTACAATACAAGATATTATTGATACTGGAACAAACGAAGGTAATATATCTATAATGTGCAGTGCACTTCGTAACTAATTTTTGCATTCTTTAGCGTGGTCTGCCGGCGAGTTAGCCCCTCGCAAGATGTCTGCCAATTGTTCTACACTTTCTTAAGTATAAAACCAAACCTTTCCCGTAAATAGAATCCCTGTACCTTATGAATTTTTTCTCACCCAAAATTCACATCTTTAACTGCGTACCCCCCTTTATGCGGGTTATTCAAGTTGTTTCATTTTTGTTATGCAACCCTGTATAAAGATTGCCATTTAAATTTTTAATTCAGGTAAACTAGTAAGTGGAAACCTGTGGAGTCGATCAGTTTTTTTTTGTGATGTTTTTCTAAATCGTAACTAACAAAACATTATAAACTGCATGAAGCGTAATATTGAAAATTTTGCATTACTTAAATGCAAAATAAACAATATACAATTATTAAGTAAAGAATGAAAGAAAGGTGCTCCTGAATGAAATTGTACCGTACAAGGGGGCTTCGATAACAAAGAATTTGATTGTAAGTGAACTGTAATTATGAATTACTTCCAAGGCCTTATTTATGCTGGGAATGAAAGAATATAGACACATAAATAAACGTGTTTATTATAAAAAATACAAAGTAAATGAATTTCTATTGAATATGGTTGACGTAGGCACGACGGCTACTAGAATATGGTAAAGTTACGAAGGGATACTGTAAACAAAGGAACTTACGTGTTGTTTCAAAGTCCATTAACAACGAAGGCGATGTTGCAATGGCGAAGATTGCTCTATTCTACGAAGTTGTCGAATTTGTCGATTTTGTTACAACGAAGTCTTCTGTAACAGTTTAGTTTATTCATATTCAAATTTCAAAATTACCGCTTGCTAGGTTAGGTAGGATATAGGTGAGATGGCGTCACTTGTACGCGTGTTTCTTTCCTCGCGCAGAATCGCGTTATTATTTTTTCATTTCCGTTTTAAAGCCAACGAGGTTGTACTTGTTGTAGAGCGTGGCATTGTGAATTCTTCTTAAACCAGTGGGTAATATTTGCCATCATTCACGTGAAATCTCTGGCAATTTTACCTTGTCATTGGCGTTGTCGAGTAGTGTAACTCAGAAGCCGTTTTCTCCATTGCGAGGCTATATATCTGGTTGAAGTTCATCGCCCTACCTACATGTAAGTGAAATGGCGTTGGCTTTCTTTTACGTTATGTTATCTAAAATTCTTTCAGATTCACAATTTGAGGTTGGATAATTTCCATATTTCATTGATTTAAGTATTTTTCATTACCCTCCTGACGATTTCAGGTATGTTATTAAAAATCTCGTTAAGGGAGTGTTACATCTTCATTACTTTTAGGGGGTCCATGTAGTAGATGAATTCTTGTACCGGTCAATCCTTGTACAGACGAATCCTTGTATGGTATAGTTTATAGCATATCCTTGCACATTCTTGTGTGCGGAGGACATTGACCTGGCATAATTTTGGGATAGTAAATGAATTTGCATCTTGCGAATATTCCGGAGTACGAACAATTGCCGGCAGCTATGTTGATTGCCGGCAGCTATCCGGCGTACCACCGAGTAGATAAGCGCTAACACCTAAACGATACCGGGAGCGACCAGCTGATTGTGGAATTTTCGGAAGATACGATCTTTTACACAACCTTTTTTTTTTTAATTGCTTCAATACCGTTAATCTAGTGTAACCTTCCGACGATTTATGATTGGAGCTTTGTATTTTGTTCGCATCTAGTGTTTGAGGTCGTGGCTCTCTTCAAGAGCAACGCACCTGTATTTAACGTATGGGTAAACGAGCCGGCTACGAGTAAGCTATTTTTTTTTGGCCCTTCCGGCTCATATAATCGTTCCGAGCGTTGTAGCTTGGGGTTTGTTTTTGTGTTACAGAACTGGAACTTCGAAGGAGAGCTCTTTTTCGGAGAAGACAGCGTATGTGTTATTCAAGGTAAGATTTTTAATTTACTTGTACCCAGTGTTGCCTATATGAGTGTTATTCGGGTTAACTTAATTCAATCCTTGAATCCATTGAAATCTTAGCTACATTTTTGCTCGATCATTGTTGTAGGGGTCTGGTAACGTAATTATTAGGGAAGTGTTCATGAATTTATTTGGGGATTATTTTTGTCATTTAAGTATTTGTTATTGTCGTATTGAAGATACATTTTATTTGCCGATCCTGCACCGTTTTTGCCAGGATTAATAAATCAGAATTGCTCGTAGTGAATTTATTATTTGGCTCTCTTGTGTTTTCCCAATTTCTATACAGGAGAGGTCAGAATTTGTGCAAAATTGGGTGGCGCTCAACTAATCATTTCTAGTGACTACCAAAGATCAAAAACTTATGTTATATGCCCAAACGAACAAACCGCTGTGGAAGATTCTCATCTCGAGCCCTTCTTTTAATTAAGAATCTGAGCTAGCTGGCCGTTTATGCGGCGGGGTTTGAGTTTTACAGCGCCGAACTAACCTCACGTTATACTTCTTATTGATGTGCGGTGCTTTGACGTTCTGCTTGTTAAGAACGATGTTGCGAACTGCACGGCGACATCTTGACCCGTTGTGGATCGATCGAGATCTATATGCGAACGACGAAGGTTAATCGGCCATTGATTAACGGCGACTTCTCCACGTAGTTGAGTTGATGGCTTCTAAGCGAAGAATGGGACGAATTCTGCGCGACGAGTACACATATTGCGCTTCTGCGGCTCATGCGCGCACACGTAACAAATAGGAATATATACAGGCAAGGCAAAACGGTTATGTACAGGGTATTTTCATTAAAGGAAAAACGAAAGGATACTTTATTCTACTTTGGGGACGCAACAGAAATAATTTGATTTTATGAAAGAATTGTTGGCAATTTTTAAGGAAAACATAATCCCTTCATGTGCTTCCCCCTTCAAAAGTAACTGACAATACTATACCTTCATTATTCCCATGTATTTCGTCACCATTAACATTATCTTTATTGAATGAAGACGAGGATCGCCTACGTACAAGTTCATTTTCCAACCAAAGTTTAACGGTTGTTGGAGATCGGTTTGCCAATTGTGGGATATTGGGAATTGCTTCAGATAAATGCGATAAAGAAGGAAGTCTGTCCTCTGCCAAATATGTTGAAAAACTAGTCAATGCTGCTGATTTTTCCTCATTAGACCATGGAACTTTTTTACCACATATTCGTTTAAAGCCTTTAAACAAATTCTACATAGTATAGAGAATAAAATTTGACATTTTTACCTGCACTATGACGTCCCTTTTTTCTATTTTCTGATTCCGAACTATCCCTGTCAAGTTGAAGGTCCATTGACGAAGATGCACTGGCATGCCATTCCATTGCGGCAGGCTCCATTATTGGAGAACTGTGCCCAAGCGGCAACGTATTAGAATTCTCTTCTCGAGTAAGCGTACTGGCATTCCACTCAATTTCTGCAGACTCCTGCAGTATCGGAGAACTGCGCCCAAGTTGCAACGTATTAGAATTCTCTTTGTACCATCTCCAAAACCTTGGACATTTGTAATATATCCCTATTGTTAACAGGGAGCCGGTAAATATTGTCATGAATACTCTTATCATGACCCATAAAATGTGCAACATCTTTAATAACATTTTCCGACAAGTCTCGTACAGAACACTGCGTAGCAATATGTTTGCGTAATTGGGTACCACGAAGTAAATGAGGATTTGTTGCACCACAAAGAGTCGAATATTGCCGTAACAGATGGCAAGCTCGTAAATAACGATGACGATTATCCGTCGATGGCATTCCGAAAACATAAGGATTGCTAGGGTTAACACCAACCTTTTCACGATAACTGATAATACTATCTAACGCAGCCTGAATCTCCCAATTAACAAGTACAGGTACAGCTCTATTAAGCTTTCCTCGTATCTCAAACCGTTTGTACCTTTGTGCTAACAAAGCTTCACCTCTAGACATTTGAACTTTACAATTTGTGGAATCAATGGAATGTAAACTAGCGTAATCTTCCAACGTGATTCTTTCCAATTCACCGGCTCTGCGACGATTAAATACCATAAGGGAAATTAATGTATAGGATGCCAAGTTTTTCCAAGTGTCTACGGAAATTTGTTCTTGTTCAGATTTTAGTTTTCTATAATAGTCTCTTCTTTTAGTGCGCAAGTACGCCACTAGCTTTGAAATATCATCAGTTGACGGAACGGATACTATCTTGTGACGTTGATGTACAAGTCGATTTTCTAAGCACTGGAATATTTAAATAGGTGTAAAAAATTTTCTGCATCCTTTTTCTTTCCGAAATCATTCAATTTAATGCATTCAATCTGCCAAATGTCTGCCGCTTTTTTACATATTGTAGTAAGCATTGTAGCTGTGGTAGGAGCTTTATAAATGGTGCCTTGCTCATTCAAACCTGCAACCTTATTAATAGCGGCAACAACAACATCATATTTTGTCGGAATCATTATGGAACAAAAATCAGTTACACTGTTACCCAATGATTTTACAGCTAACAGCAGTCGTCCAATTAAGCGCAGTCGTGCACGAATCATTTCATCAAAGTGTGAATCTGCATACATTGCACACCAATAATTCGCTAATGTAATAGCAAGGAAGTCATAGCGAATAATATTGACACACTCATCGTCACGTAAAATAGGAAATATACGAGTACGTAAAGTGAAACAAGCCTTTGCATGTAACTGACGAGATATAGATCGTCCCAAATGAATAGATTTTTTCCCACCAACATTTTCTCCTCCACATTTTTTATGATGCAAACGAAGTGTCGACTTTTTAAAAAAACCTTTACAAGATGGACACGGTAAATAATTAAGGCTGTTGTAGTTGCCATATGATCGTCTTGCAACATAAAAATTACCACTGTTATGTATAGACTCTGTATTATGCATATAGTCTCCGTTCCTTCGAATAGTTTCTATTAAACGTCGTCGTTCTGGACAACCTGTAATATAATAGGTCCATTGGATTATAAATGTAATAATAGAGCGGCCTAGATTTTCAAAGCGTACAATCTCCATTTTTTAAGATATCGGAGGTAAAAGTGTATTCATGGGTACTTTTTACCAAAGAATTCGAATAAGGCAGTTCTCTGACGTCGTTGATAAATCAGGAGACGGTTGTGATGAGGGCACAGATAAAGACTGACCAGATGTTGAAGGTGTAGCAGCAGGAGGTATTTCCTGCTGTGACTGTGAATACACAGGATGGCTATGTTGAGAATGCATATGGGGAGTAGCTTGGGAATGCATAAGGGAAGGAGGTTGAGAATGGGGTGTAGGCTGTGAATACATGTGGGCGGTGGCAATTGGTGCAGTTCCTACAGAGTTTTGCCAATTAGTAGGATACGGATAAGCTGGAGTAGGCGAACAAAGCAAACCTCTATCTGCATGCATAAGTACTTCAAAAATGGAGTGCTGAACCACCTGTTGTAGTTCAGAAGGGTATTTGTTAACTTTCGTAGCGACATATGTGAAAAATGAATCAATTTCATTTGCAGGACACGGTTTCATGTCCAACTTTTTTGAGGCAGCTGCCAATATCTGAAACGCACTATTCATCATTGGAGAACTGATATCATCTCGTTTCCCCTTCACTCGCTTATCAGATTTGACCGTAGAAGGTGGCTGTGTCTCTTCTTCCCTCTGTGTTGCTTCTTGATCAATTTGCCCGACAGGCAAGTCTACTGGATAGACGCCATCTTGTACATCATCCGCCTCCTAAAATTAAAATTTAGATATTAATTCATGAATCAAATGTGTTCATAAATAGAATTAAATTTACATTGAATCCCCTCTTCTTTAAATTGAAATAGTACCCTAATAAACCATTTTTTTGAATAAGTATTTTCTGTTTCAGTTACCCACGACTCCTGCAGCTTGGACGGAAGTTGCCAAGATATTTGAAACACGTTGGAATCTGCCTCACTGTGTTGGTGCCATCGACGGCAAACACGTTGTTTTACAAGCTCCTGTGAACTCTGGTACTGAGTTCTTTAATTACAAATCGAATTTCAGTATTGTACTGTTTGCATTAGTTGATGGCAATTATAACTTTATGTTTGCTGACGTGGGATGCCAAGGCAGAATTTCAGATGGGGGAGTTTTTAAGGCGAGTAAATTACATCGAATGCTTGCAGAAAACACATTGGGACTTCCATTACCAGAAGAACTACCGGGGCGTAGTATGCAAATACCTTATTTCTTTGCAGGCGATAGTGCCTTTGCTTTAAGTGAAAATCTCATGAAACCATACGCAGGAGACTTCGCTAAAGGAACTCCTCAAAGAATTTTCAATTATCGATTGAGTAGGGGCCGTCGAATAGTAGAGAACGCCTTCGGTATTTCAAGTGCCGTGTTTAGGGTCTTAAGAAGACCAATGCTTTTGAAGCCCGAAACAGCGGAATTGGTAGTAATGACGACCATCCTGTTACATAATTATCTTAGAACGCATTCACCTAATCTGTATGCACCTGTTGGCTTATTAGACAATGAAATGGAGGGGAATTTAATCGAAGGGTCATGGAGGAAAGAAGGAGATATGACGTCTATGTTGCCGCTAATAAATGTTCCTCGAAGATCCACCAATTACTGTTCCAGAATTAGGGATGAAATAGCTGATTATTTTATTAAGGAAGGATTTTTAGAATGGCAAAACCAATATGCTTAAGAGGATTTACTCACCGTGGCAAGTCTCTTTCTCGGCAAATCCCTGTCTTCCAGAAAGCTGAAAGCTTCGTAGGCAAACCATCTGCTTACATAAACTTCATCTCTTCCTACAATACAAAATTAACATTATTCCAAGCATCCATCCGCGTAAATGTTTTATTGTATTTCAACTATTACTTTGTAATTGTACGTAAATTATGTAGTGTTTAGTGTAATTTATTAGTATGAATACATTGTAAGTTAAGTAGGTCCAAACAACTAAAATGTCAACGTTAACAACTTAATTTAACAAAAACAAAAATTGGAAACGTGTGTAATTTTATGTTGTTATTCGTATTTTATATTTTTACCTTTTCCTGTTCCAGTGCTTGTCTTCACTTTGTTTTTCTCACGCCTGTACGAAGCCAGTAGACATATTACTTTTTTTTACACTGGTCTGCAGACACCTCCATTTCCACGCCTATTTCGCGCCAAGCATCTTCTTTTAAATTTTTTTTAAAATGGTTAACATTTTTGGGGTCCCACAATAAAGGTCTACATTTATAGATGTTTATTAACCGCAATATATTTTCCTCGGGCCACTCCATATTTATAAATTACCTCGCGACCGGAATAAAAACGACGAACCTCGCACAAACACGTCCCAATGTGAACTGCGAATCCCTTTGTGTTCGTCGAAAAAACCGACAGGGAACGGTTCGTCACGAACCGCTCGCGAACGGTTCGCGAGCGCTAACAAATCCCGTCCCAATCTAACGAACCAGTTGTTCGCGAACGGTTCGGCTCGCATATGTATACGCACCTTAACATATTGTTCGTTTTCAATGGCCACATCTTGAAAAGTATCCACGTCTAATATTTCAAATGTCTCGGAATCAAGTTCAATAGGCGCTTCTAAGCTCATTTCATCTGATAATTAGATAAAGTAAAATTAGATATCCAAAATAAAGTAGCAAAGCACTTACACAGTGGTTGTACTGCAAAGGGGATTGATCGCCTGCTGGATGCTGGCACACAATCACCATTTGTTGTAGGTGCCACATGATAGGATTCTTTATTATCTCTTATGCAAGTTCGTGTGTAGGAGTGATCTGTGATAACAAAGAACGAAACATTTTGATCTTCAGAGGTGGAAGTGTCAAATTCATTAAAGACATCAGAGTGAGGTACAATCTGTTCCAAGCATGGTCGATCTGCAAGGCAGGAAAACAATGTCAAAAATCATGCATAATATAATAAAAGAAACTTACCAAGTGGTTGTGAGGTGAAGGAAAAAGATTCATTATGGTCTATATCAATGGTATTTTCTTCTACTACATAATATTCAATGTTGTCAGTATTTGGGTCTTTGTTTGTTCCGTTATCAAATTCAAAAAGATTCGTGTCGGGCACCATCTGTCCTTCTAAGACTGCTTTATCCGCAAGTTGCACTGTGGAGGGAACCAATTGGTTATCGGAAAAACGATGGGCAGTTGTAGTTGCAATAGGAGCTGGTGCATTGTCCTCTATATCTCTGATTATCATTTCTATTGTAGACCATTCGTTGTCCCCAAAGTGATTTGCTTCAGGGTTCCACTCAGCAGTGATCTCGGAATCGGGTGGCGTAGGTACTTCTAAATCTGTACCTGAATTTTAATTGTAATATTACTATTGTGGTATTGACTGGAGTCAATGTGTGCGACAAGAGCTATATAGGCTATAAACTGAGTAACTCTTGAGGATTTGATTTTCACTCATTCTAATATGGATTATTCAGATATGTGTTTCGAGAGCGACGTCTGCGAAAGGTTCACGATCACGAAGAAACAGGGACCGGAGGTTGACTGCGAGCTATGGTTAACCGACGAGTTCTTGCTATTTGTCGATAATGATGAAGAATTAGACGGCCTCGGATTCACGGAGTTTGTCCAGGAACCCAGTTGCGAAGAAGTAGTTGTACAGGCTTTATTCAACAACAATTTGCGAGTGCACTCTCATGATGAGAGGTTGATGCCTGCGCTTCAATGCGACGATACGCCACTCAGGCTCATCGGGGGAATGGATCAAGCTAGTACGTCCACACGATCACCCAGGAGCACGACCCTACATGCTGACCAAACCACCTCAACGGATGGGACGCCTCCTCCTATTCCAGAGACGGACGATATTGTTGCGGTCTTTAGAGAGGAAGACGATGACGGACAGCGGATTGTGTTCCCCGGTAACATTCGAGAGATAGAGATGCCCGTTTTTGGGCTTAGACCTGAAAGAATAAGACAGCTGCGTGAAGAAGTAGAGAGATTAACTCACGAAGCGATCAACCTGTGTAGACACATAGGTTATAGATACACTGGCTGGATAGACGTATGCGAGCGGCAGTTAATCAGATACGCTGTTCAGATGCGTAAAACGTTCAGGAGCCCAGAGAAGAGGATTATTGCCGAGCTTTACCTAAAATCACTTTGGTTGAAAGAGTGGCTAAGACGCCTGACTTTAAGAAAAGAGGTGCTAGACTCACAATTAGGACCCACAATCAACCCGGTAGCTCGAGATGCAACGCCACAACCAGACCACAGACAGCACAGGAGGTATTTAAACGAAAGAACCTACCTAACTAGACATTCATACAGAGGGAGCAAGACGTTTTCCCAGTTACTAGTGCTGATGTTTGGAACTGACAGTGTTGATATCGCTAACGCCAAATTGGAGCTGTTAGCTACATCCGACGAAGCATGTCAAATTACATTCCCATAATGTGATTAAAAACTTACAGATTGGTTGTGTGGTAAAAGTGAATTGTTGGATGATGGCTCCTGACCACTTGTCGGATCACAACCAAATGATCTGCAGAGTTCTAAAATTTTATTATAAAGTCAATATTACGTTGTTTAAAATTCTTACCAATACGTGGACGGTTGGAAATTATATTTTGTTTAATACTTTCTAATAAGCAATGATTTTCTGTAAACGAATCAAATTTTACACAATGCAATTTATAAAAAAAACTTACTGTTGTAAGTAATAATATTGGCTGGATAATATTTGTTGTCGGTCCATTTTGCTCGTACATTTTGTCGGTTTATTTTCAGAGACTTTGTGGTGCAAATTGTGACGGTTTTTTTCGAAACCGTATAAATTGCTTATTTGGTTAAGAATTCAGTAGTTTTTTTTTGAGATTGTATTTCAGGCTTTAACGTTCTAATTTTCCTTGCGCTTAATTTTCACTCCGTGACAGCATATTTCATTGCATTGTCACATTTAAATTGTTATCACTGCTTATCCCCTTCTATGTATGTTTTCTCCTTGTCCTACAATTCAAAGTTGGGAATCTTTAAAGTTTAAATATTTGGTCACCTGAGATTGATTAGGGGAATCCCCGCTTTTATACATTTCCCCAGGAAAAGTGAAAGTCTTCTTCTCTTCCTGTTGCAACTCTCGTGCAAGATTGAAGTGTGGTTATTCTTAATTAAAATTTATCCAACTCATCGTGAGGATTATTTAAGAATAAAGGCTCCTTTTGAAGCTGGAATTATTAGTTGGCAATTTGGGTTCTGCTATTATTGGACCAGCGTTCATTTTCGCACTTGGGCGGATTATTCGACCACATGGATTTTACACTTCGGCTCGTTCAAGATCTTTAGAGGTGTAGTGAATGTGGCAACATGGCACTAACCGGATGTCAAGGTTGTACACAAGGTTGCTAATGTACAATGATTTTGTGTTTTTGTAATACAATTATCCCAATAAACAAGCTTTACAAGTACAAGTTTATGTACAAGAATATAACATGGCGCAGTCGAGAAAGGAAATGTAAGTCGAGTCAAGTTAAGTTTTAGAATCGCACACCCTTGAACCTAACCTCCAAGCACGTGTTTAAAAGGTTGGTTAATAAGAGGTCCAGCAAAGTATTAAGTATTATGGAAGGCTTCAAAGCACCTAAAAGCTTGGATATAAATAGTACCAATCTAAGTGAGAGCTGGAAGAGGTTTACACAGAGTTTTGAAATCTACTTGAAGGCAACGCAGAAGAATCAAGTCCAGCCTGAAATAAAAGTAGCGATTTTTCTAAAAAATTAGAATCTACATGAAATTTCCTTAGATGGAGAAGGTTTTTTGTTCTTATTCATATAACATTCAATGAAAGATAGGATCATGATACATGATTGGAAAATAATTTCATGTAGATTCTAATTTTTCACAAATCCAAGATGGCGCCCATAAGAAAATCTAAAGTTCCTAATCGCATCTCAAAAACCATTCGTTGAGAAGAAATGCTGATCGCATCAATGGAGAGACATACAAAAAGTGCTCTAATAATGTTTTACTTTTAACCTTTAACGGTTTTCGAGTTTTTTGAGAAAATCCAAAAATCAAATTTTCGGTTTTTATCGGATATCTCCAAAAGTATTCGGAATTTTTTTAATCCAAAGACAGATTATTATTGAGCACCAAAATGCCCAACTTTGCCTCCATTTAACCGACTTCGTATCTCTTACCGTTTACGAGATCCCCATACTTACCCTCGAATTTGTGGCACACTGTAGAAAAATTCCTTTCATTTACATTTTTGTTTCAAATCACGTTTTTACTTCAACTCGCGTTTTTTCGATTGATACGAAATTTTCTAATCCCATATAAAAATTTCGTTTATATAAAAATTATAATTTTGCCAGTGTACCCTACTCCACAAAAATGTATACTAACAGAAAAACATTACATTTTCACTTCAACTCGCGTTTTTTTCGATTGGGACGAAATTTTCTAATCTCATTATAAACATATACAAACGTCTTATGAAAAACTGGGAAAAGTGAAATTATTGAGGAATAGCTGTCATTAGCACCATTATTTCTATTATTAGGGCTAATTTATATGTACGAATTATAATTCCATTACATACTGAATAATAAAGTTCACATGGTAAATGTGATTTCATTTTGGGTGAAAACAATTTTTTTTTTCAAATGTAATGATTTTTTTTAACACATCTAAATGTGACACAAACTAGAAAGTATACCTAAGCTTGTAGCGTTCTTGAAAAAGAATTGAATTGAATGCGAACCAACTTTTTACAAATTTATGCTTGATTTTAGAATTAGACGATTTTTTGTAACATGTCAAAAAAATGAATGTGGAACCAACTTTTTATAATCAATGTCTAATTTATATGCGTATTCATCTCAATGACTAATGACCTCTGTCAATTAGGTAATTACCTGTTTACTTTATACCTACACTGGTTGAGCAGGTACATTCCTCTATCTTTGTCTCTTTGTTAGCATTAATTGTAATTAAATATTATGCAATTCAACATACGTCAAACAAAAATAAAATTTAACTGGTATACACCCTTAACGATAACGAAACCATGAAAACAACGAATACTTTTAGAATGTATTCAAGTAAGGAATACAGAGTAACGAATGCTTTATTTTTCACCACACTAATGGTAATGAGTACAGATAGCCTAGCGTTGATTAGGCACAGTCTCATACGAGGTCTAATTGCAAAAATTCGCCTCCCAGAGAAATTACATTGAAATGAATCTGTGTCGACCAGCGAAGAGCTGTGTAGGGCGGGCAGGTTCAATGTAATTATATTGGGGGGCATTTTTGCAATTCGATTAGACTTGGTGCGTACCAATTTGCAAAGCGATCGAACTTTTCTAAACAAAGTTATCGTGTACACGGACAGACGGCGAAACAAAATTTTCACAACATCGAGAATAATTAAAAAAACGGTTACTAACCTTTTTTCACTCCACACCGTAAGCAGGTGGCTCTTTCGCAACTGGACCCCAACAATTTTGCAGCGCAGTACTGGTCTACTTTTTCGGATGGGCAGTTTCTTAAATATACCCACGCGATTCTCCGCAATTCTGCTTTAATATGTTGGCCCCATTGCGAAGCGTCTTGCTGTCCAATTTGCTGCAGTTGTTCGGCAGTAAGATGCAAACGCCTACAGCAATTGAAATTGCACATTTTAAAACAACGCAATAACTCGTGGCTGTATGTACACGCGTTACGCATACACGTGCCAAACAAGAAATCGCAACACATATTATTTGGTGTTGGTGGAAGCGGCGTAGGGGTCGCCATTGCAAAAAAAATTACAATTCCTTGGAACGAAATCGCAATGATAACAAAACACGAGGAATACTGAAGAAAGGTGACGTGCCAGGCAATCGCCCCTACACACCGCGCTCCACACCGAAGGGTGAAACCTGTTGCAAACAAAGCAGTGGCGCAACAAATCGCAATGTCCAATCTACTATTTCAAGAAATGCACTAATACAATGAACGGTTTGAAGCAATTATTGGCAAATCCGTTCAATTAAAAGTACACACTCTAAACCTAAACTAAACAAATATTTTTATTACGTCAGACTCTCCTCTGCACACTGGACACCGCTTGATCACCGTCTCTTCCCCACCCGCCACTGTACGATAACCGCGCAAAAACGGCAATCCTTTTTCGCACTGTTTACATAAACTATGGCTACAAAGACTAAAGCAAACGATTTCGCCCTTGAAAATTTCCCCTAAACAAATGGGGCACTTAAAAAAACTGTCAGCCGGCATAGGGTTATGCGAAAAACGAAACTGAGGTCGGGTGCAAATGCCTTTGGTAAAATCATTACAACGAGTTAGCCTGGAGTTAATTCGCGCTAGTTCTAATTTTATATTGTCTGTAACAACCCACTGCTCACGATAAAGGCCCGCTTCGGCGCCTTGCTGCAGTGCACATGCGGCACCCATTACCGTATCTGCACGTTTTATTTTGGAAGTCCTTATAAATTTGGACCTCACTCTTCGTCACTTGGTGATAGTAAATCGTCAGATTAAACAAAACGACACGAAGCACTGTCGCGATCCTACTCCACTAAAATAAAAATTTTCCTGTATGTATGCTGACCGATAAAGGAGAGGGAGAGCGGAGAAACTAAAAATTGTAAAAGCCAAAAGACTGGGGGGGATATATACTCACAAACGCGAAATTTAATTTGCTAGATATAAGGTTATCACACGATTTGTTATTGAAATTATTCCTTTTCAACATTTTTTTGGATATCATGGCCCTTTGTAGTTACGTTCAAACGTGTTTAAATATTTGAAACATTTCCTTACGAAAAAAAGCAAAACCAAACCAGCGGAGCGAACAGGCACCATCGCAGCAGCTGTTATCAATCTCACCAGTTTTGCAGTGACCTATGACCCATAAACCCCTTAGAAAGGCCCGGAAACCCGTTGAAGTTATGACTAAAAATAATCTTATATACAACGAAAAATTATTCTTGTAATCGGTCCTTGTCCACAACACATTCTTCATTGCAATTGCATTATTTGGTATTTGGCACATTTCTTCTGCACAATGTTACAAGCTTTAAAACCATATGTAGGTACTTACGACCAACGCCAGAAAAAAAACTCCTAGGAAAAAAGCCCCCGGAATAACAAACCCATGGAAAAAAAAACCCGGAAAGAAATCCCTGGATAATCCCCCGTAAAAAAACTAAAATATTATGCGAAACGAAAGCCAAAATTGCAGATTTGTTTACTGAAACTGGGATAAAAGATGGAAATCATTTGACATAAGGATCTGATTTGAGATTCTTTTTCCGCTCTTCAAAATAAGTTTGAAATAAATTTTTTTTTGCAGCACCAACAATTATCCTTGCTGATTTTAGCACATCTGATTTCACGTATTATGTCTGAAACCAAAAAGGCACAAACGGTGAGCATAAAAGCACAATTGAGGCACAATACATACAAAAAAATTGGTTCATTTTTGAGCTAATGGGGGGCCAAGTGAACGGACCCGACATTACCGACTCTCTAACCGCGACAGTTTTTAATTTAATTTAATACCATGGACCGTGACGTCTAGGTTGTAATCGAAAATGGATACGATCCAAGATAATTAAATTTATACAAATATTTTCTTGTACTAATTGTACTGGCCTTATCTGAACGATCAAATACCATCGACCAAGACACTTTTGAATGTAAGTCTGAAATCGTTTCATAAGGTTGTACATGATAGTAAAAGTTAAATTTCGATGGGCAATTTCTTTAATCAACGAGATCATCGTTTACCGATTCCAAAAAAGGTCAGAGCTGTCCCCGTTGGTTCTAATCGAAAATGGATTCGACCCAAAGATGCTCTTTAAGTTTTAAACGAATATGTTCTTGTACTAAGAGAACTGGCTTTATCTAAATGATCAAATACCATTGACCATGACACTTTTGGATATGTCTGAAATCGGTTCAAAAGGTTGTACATGATAGTAAAGGTTAAATTTCCATGGGCAATTTCTTTAATCAACGAGATCATCGGGTACCGATTCCAAAAAAAGTCAGAGATGTCCCCGTTGGTTCTAATCGAAAATTGATTCGATCCAAAGTTAATCTTTAAGTTTTAAACAAATATGTCCTTGTACTAAGGGAACCGGCCTTATCTGAACGATCAAATACCATGGACCATGGCACTTTTGAATATAAGTCTGAAATTGGTTCAAAAGGTTGTAAATGATAGTAAAGGTTAAATTTCAATGGGCATTTTTTAATCAGCGAGATCATCGGGTTCCGATTCGAAAAAAGACTAGAGGTGTACTTCTTGGTTTCCATGGAAAAGTGACTCGACGCGATCCATTCCTGAAGTTTATTTAAATGAATTCGTTCTTGAACGAAGGCAAATTGGACAAATAATTAAGTAAAACCAGAGTAGTGGGTGCTCTTTGGTACAACGTATAATAGTTTTAAATGCCTTACGTCATCCGGTTTTATAACGTAGACTAAGTAACGGTAAAAATGAAATTAGGTAGCCACCTTTGATTATACTGTTTTAATATTTTTAATCATTAGAACTTAATCATCGTGAGAAAAAGTACATTTATATTGTAACCATATTTCCAACAGTACACCAGAAGACGCAGACCACCGGTTATTGAAGGGCAATCCCGTATAACCATGCGATATAGGTTTTCGTGAACTGTATAGAATAGTCTATATGCTATAAAGATTTCTCGATAAAGATCTTAACTGTATATCATATTTAGAGTATAACTAAAGATATTCTTTATAGATGTATGTTTTATTTAATCTATACAGCGATTATACAGCACTATCTGTATATATTTTTCTGAATAGAATATATGCTGTAAATTTATCGCACATATAAAGTATTCTTATATACACAACGACATTTCAGTACAGGTCATGGGTAAAAACACTTTACTGTTGTGGAAGATATATGCCTACTTTATTAAATCTATGTGTATTCTATACGAATAGCTATAATTATCCTCTACTAAATAGGTATTAATTCTTTACCTAATCGATACTATATTTCGCCATTTGTACACAAATCTTTAGTAACGTTGAATTATAGACGGGGTAACTAACTCATTAGTGTAGGAAAATAGGATAGTATAGATTCTGTTCAGTTTCCTTTACTGAATCTGTATAAAAGTTGCCTTTCGGAGTTGCGCGTGACAAGCTTAGCGAGGTTATGTCATTTTGTTATTGATAGACAAGTCTCATTTCACGTGCGAAACGAGTGTAATTACAAATTACCTAGTGCCGAAGGAATATGGAGACGTACACTGTGTACCAGTTTATTGGAACTAGCGACACGTGTGTGTTAGCTACAAGTTGGGTTAAAGAAGGGCAGGTAAAGTTTTCGAAAATCCATTATGATATATCTATATGTGTTTAATTTTTTAAGGTAAAATACGATAGCAAAAAAGCATCTGATTATGCCAAAAAGGGAAAAACACCTTACAAAAAATGGACTAGCTATAAAGTTGAGCCAATTTGTACTAAATTGTTCGGTAAAGTAACTATATGTACATCTAATTTCTAACTTACTTTCAAATACGAGTACCTATGTACCTACCCTTGATAAATAAAATTCCTCTTTGGCAGATTCTTATGATGCTGCTTATAGGGCAGAATCTGTTTTATTGGAAAAATCTGACTTAGAATCAACCGACATAGAAGCGATCAACAACCCCACACAGGTATTAGATATAAAAAGACGAAAAAATAAACGTGTAATTCCAAATTGTACCAGTGCTAGAGATGAAAGTGAGCTATCTTCTAGTGAAGATGAGAGTGCCGTTATTTGTCTTAATCTACCCCCTGCACCTGATACAACACTAATAACTATTAACGAAACTGTATCAACTGAAGATCCAGCGAATTATATTCCCGTATACGTGAATAATAATGAGCCTGAAACGGATTTAGGTAATGGCATTTACAAAGAAACACCCTCCGAAACACGCATTGAAACAAACTCAATTGATATAACTGACATCAATGATGTTCCATTGTCGTTAGCCACTGAAAGACAAGTTAATGATATAAAAGAACTAATTATTGCACAAATTTTAATAAAAATACTTGCTTATAAACGTAGCAAAGTGTGATGTATAGGTACAACAAAAAAATTGTTTGCATCTTCATTAGGAAGGCAGCACATTTTGCATATGATTGGGTCTTTTGTTAATGAAATTATCGAAATTTTATCTTCAAAATGACCAAGGAAGAAATAAAATTGTTTATAAATTTCTGTGTTAATTTTTGAGAACACACTTGAATTTATAAAAATTTGTCCTTCAATCACAATAGTACCATTTTGTTTTTTAAAAAAAATCACCTTATAACTCTTTTAGTGCTCAACATTACACAATTATCACTTTTCCGATTGGTATGAATTTTAAAATTGTGAAATGATGCTTTTATCATCGATCGACGAGACGTTACGGTTTATCAAAAACGCGAAAAACACGAACAACACCCTAAAATCCATGTGCAAACGGGTAAGCGAGACGTTCACAACCCTCGAGAACCATCGGAGGCTCATCGAGCAGAAGTGGGGACACTACGTGAGCAACCTAAAGGTGACGACCAAAAGCAGCGTGCCAGAGGTCCGACCGGACAAGGTGCAGGCAGCCAATAGACCAATCACAAGAAGAGAGATGAAAACGACTGAGGCGCAGACGAGCCCCCTAGTCTCTTATGCAGCTATAACGGCCAAACCTGGACCGTCGGGACATGATGGACGAGTGCCGACCAGAAACCGCCAAACCAGGAGGGTCGAAATTGCAACGCCAGCGACGACCGAGGAGGAAGAAGTGGAGAAAGCGGCCGAGGACGTGAACAAGGCAAGGGCACAGAAGTCGAGGTTGATTCACCGAAACGATACTGAAGGGGACCCCGAAGGCGAATGGAAGCAGGCCAGTAGAAGAAAGGGGAGGCCGAAGGAGAGGCAGCAGGCTACCAGCGAGAGCGAAGGCGTGACCTCAGGCACCAGGCGAAGGGCGCCGAGGGCGGAAGCGGTGCTGGTACGGCTGCAGGGTGGAAACCACCTAGAAGACATACTGAAACGGATACGGCAGACCGACATGTCAGGGGTGGATACCAAGATAGAGGGTATCCAGAGAACAAGGGCGGGGGACATCCTTTTGAGAATGGAAAGGGGCCGAAGATAAAGGCGGCGATAAGCGACAGGGAGGTCACCATCCTTGAGGACAACTGCACGTTGAGCGTGAGAGATCTGGACGCGGTCACAACTAAAGAGGAAGTGCTTGAGGCCATACTACGGGAGACACCTAGTGCCAGGTGCAGGGTGAAAAACATGGTAACGGTAGACCGCGGACAGCAGGTGGCATATGTCCATGTCAACAGACACGCCGCGGAGGTGATCGATAAACAGGGGTTTCTACGTGTGGGCCTAACATCTTGTCGTGCAAAAATCAGCGCAGAGATTGTGAGGTGCATGAGATGCTGGGCGAGCGAGGCAGCAGCAAGAGGAGGAGGCCCAGGCCAGAAGTGACGCGCATTGGGCAGGGCACATGGAAGGCGCCGAGGAGGCGAGGGCCAGCGCGCAAGATGACAGGGATATGGTAACTATACGTCTTTCGCTATAAAAACCGTTGCACGTCATTGATTTGTGTATCAATTTCAGACATATGCTGCAACACTGCAACATGTACAAAAAAAACAAGTAGTGTGCGAAATCTATAGAAAACTTGTCTGAAATTGATTCATAAATCAATGACGTGCACCGCTTTTTATAGCGAAAGACGTATACTATCGCAGATGTTTAGAGTGCTACAAGCAAACCTGAACAATAGACGGGAAGCCCTGGACTTGACGGCCCACGAGACTACAAGCTCTCTCCTGGGGTTTACTACTTTCTCCTTTGGCAGCGTTGCTCAGCGTGTGTGAGTTGACGAGGACTTGGTCTCCTGGTTGGTACTGCGGTCCCTTTTGGCGGCTCTGGTCTGCATATCGCTTCTGTCTGTCTTGTTGCTCCTCTTGGACTAGTTTAGTTTGGCGGATGGTGTCCGTTAACTGGATCAGCTGCGGGGTTATTTCCGGGATAAAGCTTTCACTTTGGATGATGCTCCTTTGATCCCGTTGTACGTCGTCTGTTGTAGGAAGTTCTCGACCGAAGGTAAGGAATGCGGCCGTTTGTCCCGTTGATTGGCACCTGGCTGAGTTCATTGCGAACCTGATTGGGGAAAGTTTGGCGGGTCAGTTGGAATGGTCGTCCCTTACTAGGATTGCTAGCTGGGTCTTCATGTCTCGGTTTTTGCGCTCTACCGGGTTTGCTTGCGGGTGGTAGACTGGGTTGAGGACTTGTTTAATGTCGAGGCAGTGGGTCACGTGCTGCATCACTGCGCTGACGAATTTAGTACCGTTATCGCTGATTAGCCTTTGTGGCGTCCCGAACCATAGGAAGACCTCATTTATCAGGATGATAGCGCATGCGGCGGCGTCGGCTTTCGGTAGTGCGAACAGTTCCACCCATCGGGATGCTGTGTCTTCGGCTATGAGAATCCATCTCTCTTGATTGGGTCCAGGCGGGAGAGGTCCGAATAGGTCTACGGCTATAACCTCAAACCTTTGGGCCATGACTGGGGTCTGGAGTAAACCTGCGGGCTTCATATTGTTTGCCTTGAACGTTTGGCAATCTGGGCAGTTCTTGACGTAGTTTTTGACGTCCTTCCTCATGCCTATCCAGAAGTACCGGGATGCGATTCTTGTATGGGTGCGATCTCCTCCGTAGTGTCCCGCAGTGGGTGTGTCGTGGTATTCCTGTAGCACGTCCTGTCTTTCATCGAGTGGGACCACTTGTTGGGTGGTGTCGGCGTCGGAGTCGGGGTGTATTCTATTGAGAGGTTGAAGGGCTGGAGCGTTAAGGCCCATCGGCGAGTCGTCCGCTGGGCGACTTTAGAGACATCAGCCATTTTAGAGGTTGGTGGTCGGTGGCCAGAGTGACAGTTTGTCCTTCGATATAGCCCCGAAACTTGGTTACCGCCCATACGGCAGCGAGGGCTTCCCTTTCGGTTGTCGAGTAGTTCCGCTCCGAGGGTGTTAGCAGTCGGCTGGCGTACTCGACGGGTCGGAGGTTGGATGCTTCTCCTTCCTTGCGAGACGACCGCTCCTAGGGCGTAGTTGCTGGCATCTGTGTGTAACGTAAATGGTTGGTAAGGGTCGGCCTGTAGTGGGATGGGAGCCGTAGTCAGTAGCTTCCGTAGCTGGTCATGAGCTTGCTGCTGGGGCGTGGTCCATTGCCACGGCGCGTCCTTTTTGAGTAATCTGGTGAGGGGTTTGGTGATTCCGGCGAATCCGGGGACGAACCTCCGATACCAGGAACACGTTTGCAGAAACGTCATCAACTGTTTGACGTTGTTGGCCGCGGCCATGTTGCTGATCGCTTGTGTCTTCGCGGGGTCCACCGATATCCCTTGGGGGGTGATGAGGGGTGTCCAAGGTACTTTACTTGGCGACACGCGAAGTGACATTTGGGTCGTCGGGCACGAAGCTTGAATTGTTCCACTCGGGCAAGTACCTGTTGCAGGTCCTGGATGTGGGTCTCCACGTCGGGTGAGAGCACAATAATGTCGTCCAGGTAAGCGAGTACCGAGGTGCGGGGAAGGCCGGATCTGAATCGGTCGATCAACCTCTGAAAGGTTGCGGGTGCGTTTTTTAAGGCGACGGGCATTCGTAGAAATCTATATAGTC